CTGCAGCTCACTGCTCATCATAACTGACCTCTGACCTCAGGTCGTCATTTGCCGTAACGCCGTAACACTGTTGTGCCGTTTTCAGACGGCCTACTCGGAGCTTCTGACGTCTCACATGGCCGGCACCGGCGGCGATGAAGTCACTGATAACAAAAACCAGATGGACAACGTCATTGACATCAGGTACGATCGACGACCGGCTGAGCGAGCGTTCTGGGGTGAGGGAGAAATCCTTCTTGATACTCTCCCTGGTGAAAGGGTACGGGTTCAGCAACCATCCCCTGGGCAGAGTGTGGTTGGGGGAAGGGATGTGAAGTCAGACACTTTCTCTGCGATGCTTCCCCTAGCAATAACGGTCAGGCTTTACCGCGGTGACAGGCTGAATCACAAAGCCGAGTGTGTGAGGTGGAGGGGAGTGGGGGCCTGCGCTGTGACGATTGGAAGATGCTGTCTGCATCCCCGCCGGAGCTAGCGTGGGCATGTGCTCCGCCCGGTGACCTCACGGCTCCTCTGACGGTATCCGGGAGTGAGCGAGAGGTCCGGGTGGGTTGTGGGAGCCGGACCGACGGGCGGGGGATTCCACTATCGCCACTGGCTGACGTGGACCCGACTGGAAATAGCCCGGCGTATGAGACAGCGAGGGTCCGTCCCGCAGTTGCTTCCGATTTCCTATTTCACGTGAAAAGACGAGCTGTCGTGAGTCACCTTGCCAGCCTTTGTCGAGTGAATTCGTTGAACATTGCAAATTCGTTGTACCTATCCTTTTTCTTTTCATGGATGAGGAAGCCTGTGAGTAACTTCTAAGTGTAATCGATATATTACCTGAATGAGCCTCGTCTGGAGGATTACAACGCCATCCCGCCATTTAGCTAAACACAAATGATCAAAAATTTGGAATTAGGCGTGCAATCCTTGCTACCTAGTTACACAAAATATATCGAATTTCTTCTCTCGCGTGACTTAACCAGCTCTCCCCGCGGCCTCGTATCTCTTCTTTGCCCCTCTCCCATATAAACAACACCACGTACCCCTCTGCCACAGGGAGTACGACGTTCCCTACCACGTGCGGGTCAGCATCGACGAACACATCTTCATCGGCAAGTGGTACTCGGTGCGGAGTCGCGGCCAGGAGCCGCCGATCATCACCCTGCGCGCCGACCTACTCGAGTGGCCCGACTGTATCGTGCTGGCCTACGATATTGAGACGACCAAGCTGCCGCTCAAGTTTCCAGACGTGAAGACGGACCAGATCATGATGATCTCATATATGGTGGACGGCCAGGTGGGCAAACTTCGGCGGAAGAACGGGAGTAGTATGTGGGGAAGGGGGAAGGGAGATGATGTAGGTAGTTCAAATCATGTCAGCCTTAATTTGTTAAGTATGCCAGTAAACTACCCTATTGAAAATTTATCGCTGGATTAAGCCTCAGCATTAGCAGATGTGTCTAGCTGAGCGATATTTTTTCACATTTCTTTTAGGCTCAATTTGTCGCACTATCATGCTACTCTTGGGTCTCAGCCGTCCGTGCTTCCATGGGTGACTGAAATAGGAACGACTTATGTTTGCCTTCAACCTCCCACTCACGTGTAATCTCTTTTCACAGGGCTACCTGATCACAAACCGTGAGATCGTCAGTCAGGACATCGAGGACTTCGAGTACACGCCCAAGCCCGAGTTTGAGGGACCGTTCATTATATTCAACGAGCCGAACGAGGCGGCCGTCATACAGCGCTTCTTCGACCACATTCTGGAGGTGCGGCTGGCGTTCTGTTTAGGGGCAGCTGTACCGAGAGTAACGCTTTATAGTTAGCTGGTGTTTCAGAACGTATTTATGAAAAGTTTGAGTGGCATAGCAACCGTCACTAGGGCACGCCGGCCGTTATGCTCTTGAACTTTGACGTGAGTTATTGCTGATTGACTATTCGAATTGATAATATGTTCTACATTAATCGATTTGCTCTGAAATGGCGTCGCAGCCTGGATCGTAGTGACGATATAGCCTGACTGATCTATGTTAGTTAGTTAGCTCCTGACTGTCTTCATAGTTGTGTTGTTCGATCGGCACACTGCTACCCCGCTGACCACTGAAGTTGCAGCCTTCCCCCTCCCCTCTTCGTCCCCAGATCCGGCCGCACATTTTCGTCACCTACAACGGCGACTTTTTCGACTGGCCGTTCGTCGAGGGACGCGCCGCCGTGCATGGCCTGGACATGGCCAAAGAGATCGGCTTCTCCAAGAACAACGAGGGTATCTACGTGTCGCGCCCGAGCATCCACATGGACTGTCTGTGGTGGGTCCGCCGGCACTGTCGTCTGGTCTGGGCGGCTGCTATGCTCTGTAGTTAATTTAATATGCTGTGCAGCTTTGGTTGTCATTCATTGTGTGTCAGTTATTGGTTGCCGTGCCTCGATATTGTATTACTATGTGCTGCTGTCGTTTATTTCGGTAGCATTTTTATACAGCTATTGAGAGTTAAATCATCTTGATTCGAATGTCATGTCAGGTGCTGGTCAATGATACTTTTTCACTGTAGAACCAGTGGTGGAACAGTATCTACGCATTTAGATTTGCGTCCTTCGTTCAGCCGTTCGCTTTAATTAACCCTTGCCCCCACCCCTATCGTCCCTAGCTGGGTGCGGCGCGACTCCTACCTGCCCGTGGGCTCGCAGAACCTCAAGGCCGTGGCCAAAGCCAAGCTGCGGTACGATCCTGTGGAGCTGAACCCGGAGGATATGTGTCGTATGGCCAACGAGGAACCGCAGGTGGGTGGATTTCTGCGACGGGATATACATAGCCAGCTTACGTTTTGGGAGTAAGGAAGATTTGGCCCATGTTTGTGGGCTGAAGGAATCAGACCTCAGAGTAAGCGACGCAGCGTACGTATGTAAAGCCAGGGAAACATCTACGTCTGAATTGGAAGGGCATGGCAGCTCACGTTTGGGGATGGGTGCATGGGGCCATAATTTAGTTATGAAGAGGAAAAGTTATGACTCCTAATTGTCATGGACTCATTTATTCCGCGCGAGACAAATAATATGGTTTACACCTGTTCAATTGTGAGCTGACCATGAATTTAGCTGATTTTTTTCTTTTCCAGGTGTTGTCCAACTACTCGGTATCTGACGCGGTAGCCACGTATGGAAGGGCATGGCAGCTCACGTTTGGGGATGGGTGCATGGGGCCATAATTTAGTTATGAAGAGGAAAAGTTATGACTCCTAATTGTCATGGACTCATTTACTCCGCGCGAGACAAATAATATGGTTTACACCTGTTCAATTGTGAGCTGACCATGAATTTAGCTGATTTTTTTCTTTTCCAGGTGTTGTCCAACTACTCGGTATCTGACGCGGTAGCCACGTACTACCTGTACATGAAGTACGTGCACCCTTTCATCTTTGCGCTGTGTACCATCCTGCCGATGGACCCCGATGAGGTGAGATCGCCAGACATCGGCGCACGGCGCGGCCGAAGAGACTCAGGCGGAGTAGCTGGGGGAGAGGGACAGAGGGCTGCGCTCAGCTCTTGTACTTAGTGTCGTAAAGCGATTCTTCGACACCAGGTAGAAAGAGGTAAATACGAATCATTCGCGTTTTCTTATAAAATAATACTAGTGCAATATTACGTACGCAGCCGCTCTCTGTCTGGGCTGTGCTCTGAGACTTTAGCTCCGTCTGACTCTCCCCTCCCCACCCAGGTGCTGCGGAAGGGCTCCGGCACACTCTGCGAGGCGCTGCTGATGGTTGAGGCCTTCAAAGTCAACATCGTCTTCCCCAACAAGCAGGAGACGGTGCACAACAAGATCACCGAGGACGGCCACGTGCTCGACAGCGAGACCTACGTGGGCGGACACGTGGAGGCTATCGAGTCGGGTGTGTTCCGCGCCGACATCCCGTGCCGCTTCAGAATGGTGAGTGGAGGGACGCTACCGTCGGCTGTGGAGGGGCCTACCGCCGGCCGGGAAGGAAGGGTGGCGTAGTGGACAGTACAGATGCCTCTCTTCAGTTGCATGCCGGCCGATTTGCTCAGTTCGTAGCAGCCTTCTGTGATTAGTCTGGTCTTGAGCTCTAGCTTAAGAAAAACATTTTATCTGATACAGATTACTGGGCCCTTACTACAAAGGTGGAACAGTCGTTCACGTATGCTGCTTTGGGCAACATTTTGCACTGCAATTAAAATGCTTTCTCCTCTTGAACTTCTATCATTCTTAACGCTCAACCTAGCGATAACCATTCCCTATCGCACGGCCGTCAGGTACCGGAGGCGTTCCAGAAGCTATTAGAGAACGCTGACGCCACGCTACGGTTCGCCATTGAAGTGGAAGAAAAGATACCGATGGAGCAGGTGAGTGAAACACCTCGAGAGGTCCGCTCCGGCCTCCGGAGAGGGGCTGCTTAGCTGGCCCAGCTGTGTTTGTGTCGATTAGGCGAACATAACTATGTGGACTGCCTGTTTATTCGCGACTATGACAGTGAACGCCGACTGTGATCCCGTACCTGGCAGATACCGGTCACCACTTCTGCAGATACCGGTCACCACTTCTCTCAGAAACGAAATGTTCAAAATGCTGACATCATGACTCTAGTGTGACCTGACCTCTGAACTTGCTCTATGACGCTGTTCTCTAACCGAACCTGGCAATATTGTGGCAATTGACAGGTCTTTAATTAAGCGGCTGACCATGATGACCTTTCTTGGCCGTTACCTATTGATGCGTCCTGGTCTCCTTCAGGTCACCAACTACGAGGAGGTGCTCTCCGAGGTCCGGGCCAAGCTGGAAGACCTGAGGGACACGCCCAACCGGCTGGAGAACCCTATCATCTACCATCTGGACGTGGGTGAGTGTACCTCGGGGTGGCTCCCTGCAGCTTTGGTTGTCACGTTTATGTGAGCTGATGCGCACTGCAGCTTGGCATGGGTTTAGTACTGTGTCAGAAGTGGCCTTTATGGATATATTTGTTCATATTAATTGCTTTTGCTTTACTTGCCGCTACAATTACTGATCGACAAGGACAGTTTATTAATCGCAGGACAATTTTGTAATTTACATTTGCAGTGGTCATAAGCACCAGCACTTTTCGTGATCCACATGATGATTTTCTGGACATTCTTGAAAAAAAAATGTAGGTACCTACCTCATGCTTCAACCATTACTGGGACGTGCCGTTTCTTGGAATTACCAGTTCACGTATGCATATCATATGAGTTTGTATGACACCGACCACCTTATTTTTGACACCTGGCATTCCAAGTGACGACACTACAACGCCCTCCACCCCCGCTACTTCTACCCCCGTTCCCTCGGTCAATGGAACACAGTGTGTCCGGGTGTCTCGGCTCGCGCTGAGGTCGTGCCCTGCCACCGCCGCCGCGCCGCCTCATACTTCTCATACTCGGCTACCTGTTCGGCCGGTGCGCCCGGCAGTGGCACGTAGGGCGGCGCGTACGTGCGCGGAATCACGCCCGTTACCGGCTGTTCGACGGCGTGACGCAGCGAGGTCGGCTCGTAGAGCGGGTGCTGGAACTTGTCGTCGAACTGGAGCCGTTTCTGGGGACATGCAGATGAGACATGAGATGGGACATGAGTTGGGAGGAGACATTACGGGTCCCGTTGAGTTTTTAGTGTATGATTATCGGCTTGTTTGTCCTCTAAATATTGTACATTCTCGTCAATTTTCTGCGTAGTATCGCTGCCATCACGGCACTACAATTCGTCCTTACCTCTGCGTCGTGTTCTTTTTACATCTAATTTCTTAACTTCTAATAAAAGCTGTATCACGCTTCCTTCTTACCCCCATGCCGTGCCCGATTCTCACCTCCACACGGTGCCCAATTCTCACCTCCACCCCACACCCGGTTCTCACCTCTGTGCTGGCGGTGAAGGGCGGGTCGGTGACGGCCTTGTAGGACGGCCCGTCGTCCATGGCGCTGTACAGACAGCTGAAGTTGGTTCGTCGCATGCGGTGCAGGGTCTCACGCCACTCGCGCTCCACTGTGGGAGGCGGCGGAGGCGGCGGGCCTGGGTTGATGTCTTTGTCACTGTGCTGCAGGTACCAGACGAGCGCAGAGTCCCACTGGCTCGTGGTGCGCGGCAGGTGGTGGCCGTGTGTGAAACAGTTGGCCATGGTTGCTGACGGGTGATGACGGAGAGGCGGTGATTAGGTCCTTGCTGATTGATTTGACTGGTATTTAGAATAGTGATGCTAGGAAATTAATTAAACTGTGTGCGAATGATGGTCTGGGAGGTAATGTTTTCGTTGGAAATATCGAAAATGTTGAAAAATGGCGTTGGTTTTCGTTTGTTTTCATTTTTATTATTCCTTTCCCTCGTGCCCTTTTAATATACGACCCCTCAGCCTGCTGCGATTCACGTCACTACGAAACTGGATTTACCCCACCACATCCATATGGCCCTCTTTCTTACTCGGCGCTGACTGCAAGTTAACCGCCCGCTCTTCTATCTCCAGGCGCAATGTACCCGAACATCATCCTGACCAACCGACTCCAGCCGTCGGCCATGGTGGACGAAGCCACGTGTGCGGCGTGCGACTTCAACCGTCCGGGGGCGCGCTGTCAGCGCACCATGAGCTGGATGTGGCGGGGGGAGGTGATGCCGGCCAAACGGAACGAGCTGCAGCACATCCGACAGCAGCTCGAGATGGAGAGGTGGGTAGGATAATGGGTGGAGCTGGCTGGCGCGTAGAAGTGGCTTTAGCAAATAGGTATGCAATATGCATGCTCTATCGGTGTTTGTTGCGGTAGCAACCACATCTCCGCTGGCTTTATTTGAGCGATTGCTTTTCAAAATAATTTCGTTGTCGACTTGTCGACCAGAATGTTATCAAGTATCTTTTCTATATAGCCTTTTATCGGCCGTCTGTTCTTCACCAGCGGCCGCTCCAGTGGTTTACTGAATGCTGCGCTGTATAAGACATGCTACGTTCTTGTCCCATTCACTGACATCTCACCCCTCCATTGCTCCGCTACAGGTTCCCTCCGTACGTGCGCGAGCCGGGCGGGGTGCCGGAGCCGGGCGCCAAGGATCGCGCCTTCCACCAGCTCAGCAAAGACGAACAGGCCACCATCGAGAAGAAGCGGCTGTCAGAGTACTGCCGACGAGCCTATAAAAAGGTATGGCACGGGGTGGACACCGCGGACGCTGGCTTGGACCGCTCATCTATCGCCTTAATCTGTGTGCTCTGTTTCCCTTGTGATCTTTATTCTGCCTCAGGATGCGATTTTCTTACGATCCTGGCTGTTTCCGCATGACCGACTATTTCCCTTAGCTCTTTATCTGTCCCAGCATGTGTCCGCTCTTGTTTCCGATACGCGGCTGAACGTCCCGTACTTCCTTCGCTATGCCGTCCTGTCCTTCTGTGGCTATTTTCCTTGCCGCCACTGCCGTATAATTGTCCCGTATGCTAAAGCGGCACATTGTACCGTCTTTGACAACCAAACCCACGACAGGTGCACATCACGCGAATGGAGGAGCGACGCACCACCATCTGTCAGAGGGAGAACAGCTTCTACGTGGACACGGTGCGGGCCTTCCGTGATCGTCGCTACGAGTACAAGGCGTTAAACAAGGTACGGTGCTTTCGCCGCCGTCCGGCGTACGGGGTACAAAATGGAGGGGGGGGGGGGTATGTAGTAGGTAATGAACAGGCTGAACAAAAATAATTGGGGTTCCCAGGGCTGCGGAGAGCAGGGGACGGCTAAAAGTCGTTAGAGTGATATTTTTATGTGATGTTTTTTTTTTGCGGTGGCTGAGTGAGCTAAGTTCGATTATCTTCATTTTTTTTTTTTTGCTTCATCTCTGAGACCGTGATGTAAAGGATTATTCGCAACCTTACTACATATGTGACTTCTGTGCCTTGACATTAATATTGGTTAACTGAAGTATCGAGGATTACGCAGTGAGCTGACGTTCGCCCACTTCTCTGACCTGAGTGCTGTTTGCTCCACGCGCCCGACTCCTGTCCTGCCCTAACCTGACTGTCCTGCCCTAACCTGACTTGTTCCTGCCCTAACCTGACGCCCTGACCGTCAGACGGCCAAGAAGCAGCTCTCGGACGCTCAGTCTTCGGGTGACGTGAGCGCCATTAAATCGGCCAACAGCCGCGTGGTGCTCTACGACTCGCTACAGCTGGCGCACAAGTGCATCCTCAACTCCTTCTACGGATACGTCATGCGAAAAGGGTAGGTGTCAACGGGCCCAGAAATCGGCCAATGATCTTTGAGCAATTTGAATTGTGCGGCGTTCCTTTTACTGAGACGCTAGTTTTTATGTTGTGTTCAGATATGCCCATTTTTACCCGTGTTTTTTTTCTTGCCAGTTTGCGTAGTTGATGTTACGTTTTACGCTTTCCGGCAATATATGCGACCTTTTTTATCAGCATGCGTTTTCACTGGCTCGGTGTCCCACCTATGTGTTGCCGATATGTTCGTGTACATTAGACGATGTGCAATCGGCATGAGCGAACCGTGCCTCCCACGAATCATGTTTCTATTGACCCAGTGTTTGCGCTGTGCCGTCTTTTACACGCTGTCTCGTTAATATTCGTGTCTGCTCTTTGTATCCTCTTACCTGCTTGCACCACCCCGTTGTCTGCCGCATATATTTGTACCACCTTCGCACGGCGTGCCCTTACCACTGTCGCGTCACTGCCTGTCACCCCGTATCTGCTCTGCCGCCGTTCCGTAGAGCGCGCTGGCACAGTATGGAGATGGCCGGTATTGTGTGCTACACGGGTGCCGGACTCATCACCCGAGCCAGGGAGATCATCGAACAGGTCAGTGGGAGGCAGGAGATGTGTCGTGTTGAGTTAGTGGGAGAGGGAGATGTTTAACCCGCGCCCCGTTGGGCTCTGCCGAGCAACGCGCCCCGTTGGGGGGGGGGGGGGCATTTTGCCCCCCCCCCCCCTAAGATCTCGAGAACCACGCAACCTAGCGACAAGCGGCAAACGGTGTTGGATAGCCCTATCAGGGAACTACCTTGTGACCCAATTTTATTGACCCAGGTCAAACCGATGACGTCACAGGTCAGGTCAAAGGTCCAATTTTCACCGTTTACAGGCATTTCAAGAAATGCGTTGTAAAATCGAGTAAAATGCATTTCATTAAAAATCTTCGATGGGGAAATGTTCTTCAAACACATATTTCGCTATTTGAGGTCACCGATACCAGGTCAGGTCACAGAGGTCAGGTCACTGGGGGGTAACAATATGAAAGTGTCGTGTGATACATGTTTTACGGCCCATTTTACATGAAAAATGCGATTATGTGGGTCAGGCAGCCTTTCGGGCCAGCTTAGGTCACGTTTTGGTCAAGGTCAGGTCAAGGTCAGGTCAAATTAGGTCAAATTTCAAAGTTAATATTTTTGCATAAAATGGGTATCGAATCGATGCAGCTCGTCACGGGGAGTTCAATGGTGGTCTTTGTTTTGCCGTACGTGATCTAGAATCGCTAAAAATTGAGTTCAAAAATTTGACGTCATCATTTTTGAACAGTTTTTTCGCTATAACTTGGCCAAAAAACGAGATATCGATCTGAAATTTGGTATGTATATAGAAGAGCGCAGGCACTATCACATATATTCCGGTTTCTGCGAAATTCGGAAAATTTTTGGATTTTTTTTAGTTTTTCCAAAAAAAATCAATTTTTTGAATTTTTTGGGTCAAAACCCTAAAATTTTGAAAATCCGAGATAGCAGTTTTGTAGCACCGCTTTTTGCCTACTAGTACATATAAAGAACTTTGAAATTGCTTGATAACTGTAGATTTGGTGAGCGTTTCAAGATTGCATGTTTTTTGCTTATTTTTGCTCGAACATGACCTCAATTTGACCTCAATAACTCCTGACCTAAGGTGACCTAAGACTTGAAATTTGGTGTGAAGGTGTCAAATTGATGCCCGGGGAGGTACTGAAAATTTGGCGGCGCTGCGCGCCGCCGTTTTCTTGCTATTCAGGAAAAACCACAGGGGGGGGGGGCAAAATGGCCCCCCCCAACGGGGCGAGGGTTAAGATTCATGAATGGGTGAGGAGAGGTATCCGTCGGGCTGTGTTAACGAATCCAATCGAATCGCAAAGTCAGTTTCTTCCTAGGACAATTAAATAGTCGTGAGAGATGCATGCTGACTAAGCTATCTAATGCTATCTAAGCTAGCGTTTTGGCCTGACCTGTGCCCTGACCCGTGACCTGACCCGTGACCTCCCCCAGGTGGGTCGTCCTCTGGAGCTGGACACTGACGGCATCTGGTGCATCCTGCCGGCCTCCTTCCCCGAGAACTACGTCATCAAGACGACCAACCCCAAGAAGGCCAAGGTCACCATCAGCTTCCCGAACGCGGTGCTCAACCTGATGGTGAAGGTGGGTTCCGACAGTCTGCCGTTGGGCTGACCAAGCGTCCGACCGGGCTGTTAAGGTGTCAGTCGGACGCTGAGTTGGGAGTGTGCGGGTCGCAGTAGGGAACTTGGCGGCCTTACTTGGTGGGATGAGTATCAGAAACAGCAATGGTATAACCCGCTACGAGTCAAACATGATGTGCCAACATTCTTTCAAGGTCTGGCTCCGTTGTAATGATATGGTGTGAACGACAATTTATTCTGCTCCCTCAGGATCACTTTACCAACGACCAGTACCACGATCTGGCTGACGCCCAGTCTCTGAGCTACACCGTGCGGGAGGAGAACTCCATCTTCTTCGAGGTACACACGCTCATATACCGATGTATCGGTGGCTGGTGATTTCACATGTATGACATTTGTATTTTCTTATTTATAATGGCGAGGGTCCCCTTGTCTGGGGTTCCCTTGTTCCCTCTCCTCCCGGACTAAGGCTCTAATATGTCACCCTCAGGTGGACGGACCCTACCTGGCCATGGTGCTACCCGCCTCAAAGGAGGAGGGCAAGAAACTAAAGAAACGCTACGCCGTCTTCAACTTCGACGGATCGCTGGCAGAGCTGAAAGGGTAAGTCAGCTTTTTGTGTCTGATCGATCAACACACTGGTACACTTTTTCGATTTTATGCGACTGCCTGTAATTTTGAACTACTCTACTTAAAATGCTCACACGGCTCACTATTACTCCAGTCAATACTCTATCACTACCCTATTTCTCCGCACCTGCAGTTTCGAGGTGAAGCGTCGTGGCGAGCTGCAGCTCATCAAGATCTTCCAGTCGTCCGTGTTCGAGGCATTCCTCAAAGGCTCCACTCTGGAGCAGGTGTATGAGAGTGTGGCCAAGATCGCCGACTACTGGCTGGACGTGCTCTACAGCAAGGTACGCACCGGCTGGCTGTGTTGGCTTGGTGGTGGTGATGTAGT